TTGGCCTAGAAATTTGAGAATCACATGCAAAATGGTATTTTGGTAGAAAAAGTACGGTATTTTAAGGTGTGGTATGCAATTTTTCGTCGTGGAAGCATTTTGAAGCAAAAGTGTAAAAAGAAAAATAGTTCACGATCTCATTTTGTATAAGACAACCATCCTGCTGATTTGAAACTCGTACAGGCAAATTGTTAGAGCTAAAAGTATGAAACTTAAAAGTAAGTACTTGTAAATAATAATGACATAAAAATTCAAAATTTAGCATTAAATACTTTAAAATATATACCAAATTATAAACCATCAAATATACTTTTTTGACAATATTTTGGATAATTAACATAATTTTCTAATTCATTTAAATTTGAATAAAATTTAAATTCAATTAATGAATCATATTTATCATGTTCATAAATACGTGATAATAAATCTGTACATAATATTTCACGACATATTAAGGGTATCACTCTCTTTTTTGAAAAAATTTCGGATTTGAGCTGAGCATACCCTGATGTACAGGAAAGTGTGGGCTACAAAATGAGACCGCTCCCAGCACTACACGATCTTTCTTTTGAAGATTTTGCTTCAAAGCCTAAAAAAACTTAATTTTTCAATTTCATAAACTTTTCTCTGCTTTTCTGTACATTCAAAATTTTTCTTACACATAGTTGGATAGAAGAAAGGGTTTTCTTCACAATGAGACGTTTGACAGAATTTTCCGATGAGTTTTCGTGGAGATATAAGCATCGCGGGAAATCCCCTGAAAAAAGTAGGCAGTGTACAAATGTGTTTGTTCAGGCCAGGAAAGGTCTGAAAAAAATTTCCAAAAATCTACCTGTGCGCTATGACCTTGAGTACTTCTGGTAAAATGTTTCACTCGATCGGATGAATATAAGGAGGTCGTAATGTGGTCTAATGAAAAACCTTCCTGGTATTGGCTAATTAGTACTAATTAACGTTAATTTAGCCTACTCTGCTAGCATAAAGTCTTATTTGTAAAGTAGCAACGCAACGAAAAGATTTAAGCAATACCTCATCTGACAGAGAATTTCACGAGCTACAATATGGACTATCTTAAGAATTTTAGAATTCGTTTTTGGTCGCTCGGTAAGTCTGATAATTCGAGAATTTAACAATATTGTTTTAAGTAATTAATCTTTTCCTCAGCCAAATAATTTCAGTAAACCGAAAAAACTTCCGAACATACACTTCGAAGTGTCCTCTACAAACCGAGAAGGCTTGACGAAAAAATTAAAAACTTAAAATATCTCTGGTTTTTGGCTCAGCGAAGATTTTTTCACCCCACCTCACAGCTATTTTCGCTCGAAGCAAGCATTTTGAAGCAAAACTTTGGGTACAAAAGTTGTTCAGAATCGAATTCCGAAGTCCCTACCGAGAGCTCTTTTTCAAATTTTTTATTTTTTGTTTTTAAATTAAATTTCGGCTTCAATTTAAGGTGGGCTGTTAGATATACATGATGAAAAGATTTGGTAGAGAGATGCAACTATTTTAATGCATAACTTTTTACAAATTAATTTAGATAATTGATTAATTAAAAGTGTTTACACTTGTATATCGTCATTCTGATAAAATGATTATTGACGTAATTTTGATATGTGTATCTGGATATCTATTATATGAACAATTAATGCATCAACAAAACACAGATGGTAATTTAGTTCCTATCCAACTTTCTTCATTGATGATTGTATGTCTAGTTAGTCACACAATCATCTAGTTTCCCAATATGTTAAGTATGCAAAGGTGAATTTTCCCGGGCAACGCCGGATACTTCAGCTAGTGTGTATATATATTTTATAGGAAGCATGTTTCTTCAAAATGTTAGAAAAGCATATATTGCTCCACGTGCTTATCTACGTGATATAGTACGTATACATATACTCTGGCCACGTGTATGATTGACGATACGAACGCTTTTTTCTCATTCTAAACCAGACGTAAAACGGTGCCTGTTGTATAAGATACTTTTGTAGACTAGAAAATGAGACCTATTTAGATAAGCAAACAGAGAGCTGAATTTACTGTGTACATCCCCTGAATTTACTACCTGACTCGTTATTTATACTGATTTTTCCTTTCCAGATAGAGATTATAACAAGATCAAAGCATTGTCTGCTCGCATTAAAATTTGATTGCACTATGTTCCCGAAGAAAAGTCCGAGTAAAACACAGTGCAAGCGTAGATAACAAACGGTGACTGGAAAATGTGGAACAAGTACGTACCGGTGCAACATAGCATGCCGTCCGCACTGGTAGTGCCGGACTTTTTTCAGTACTATACTGGGATTTTTCTGTAGGAAATTCGATCATGTTTCTCATAAGAATCTTACAAGAATCTTACAAGAATCTTATAAGAATCTGATAAGAATAACATACGAGTTTTACTGGCTCTTACCAATTTCTTATGAATTCTTGTGAGATTCTTATAAGATTCAGCAGAATGCTTGTGACTTTCGTGGGAGATCATATATAAGAATTGAGTAAGATTCTTATAAGATTTCACAAATTTCTTTTTTCTAGGGTTTCTTCTTAAGACCTTATAAGAATTATAAATAAGGGTGCGCGCAAGTTTGTAGGGTGAGTATCAGAGGAAGGCAGATAAAAATTTCAAAGCATTCTCTGTAATAGCTTCCATTACATTCAAAAAGAAAGACAGTTTCGAACGACTTATGAATGATCATCGAAATAATCCAATTAAAATGATTGATAGAACAATAAACACAAGATAGTGAAACAAAGAATGTCTATAGTCATTGTATATATTATTATATCTAAGTGAAAATACACGACAAGTTCTGCCTCATTTTGTTAAATAAACAAACTCAAGATAGATATCTTTATGACTTTACACAATTAAAAAAAACGAATTATCGATAAAATATGCAGGCTGACAACTATTTTTACAAAAAGAAAAAGCTCGCCGTACAACGGAAAACAAAAGAAGGAAAAAATATTCATGCCAATATTTTGAATAACTTCACTAAATATGCCCATTTTAAGAAATGGGAACATATGTTATCGACTCTGCTGATTCTCGTGATAGTGTTTGTTTTCAGATCAAAGTTCAATAACTTGGTGTCTGTCTTTATATCTGAAAGAATCTGAAACTTTCTACAAATGTTGACCAAACAGTTATCTGCTTAGTGACAAAAATTAAAGAAAATATGGAGGTGCTCACTCTCGTATAACGGAGTATTGTAGCGGAGTTTCTATTTGCAAAACATTTCATCTTTTTAGTGAATACATAACATTCATTTGGAGTTTATTTTTTTTCCAACTTTGTGAATTGCAGAATTCTTTAGACGTCATTTTTTTCCTTCTTTGTACTATACAACACTCTGTTGTTGGAAAATATCAACTTTTTTCTTCACATGCTCATATAAATATGAGCATTTAGAGTCGTTTTTCTTTCATTTTAAAGTTGAAACAAAATAACCATAAAAAAGAGACTTCAATGTCGTCAAGAAAAATTGTGAGTCGGGATTCTTGTCCAATAGCAGATCCAACACGACGACCCAAGTGTATTTGGTGTTCACTTAAAGCCGATGGTCGATGCAGTCTGTGTCGTGAAAGATTTAGTTCACAATGCTTTCATCAACATGAATGCCGTCAACCTCATTACTTTCCAAATGCCACATTGAAACTTGTACCGGAATGCCAATTCTGCACTAACGATGCATATGGGAGCTGTCAAGGATGTAAACAAGTTGTATGCTGGAACTGTTTTAAAACATCACATGAAGTAAGAAAAGTTGTCTATCAAGTCACAACGTACACACAAAAATGAATATCGAGTATGACTTATTTTATGCACCGAAACGTTCCTACCACACTAATTACTGGCATTTGTTTTTTTTATTAAATAAACTTGAAAAGAAAAAAAGAAAAGTGGCAAATGAGTTTGCTATTAGAAAAAAAATTGATAAAATTCTCAACTGTCTAATCACATTCAATTGTTTTCGTTCTTAAACTAAATGCTCATAGATCTTTCTCTAAGAATACATTATGTGTCTCAAATGCTTAAAGCGCACAAATTTCTCTCTTTCGAACTGACATGTTGAACGCAAAAGCAAAGGCGCGAATAGGGTTCTAATACCATCAATATATCGAATCTTTTGGCCACACAACTATATTACGCTAACCCTCCATTTCCCGTTTCTGAGTTATGCTCATTTTAAAATGAAGAGTAATGACTAAAACCTGGTCGAGTTATAGCCTTCTAAATCACAGAGTTTTCGACTTACAAAGCTGAAATTTACAGTTTATAGGCAGTTTTTAATGCTGATTCTAGTGCCATTCTTAGAAATTAATTGGCCAGAACTCTGCAAGGCTTTTTAGCCGGATTTTTACCTAAGCGTGCTCTTTTATCGTGGTTTTTCAAGGTTTTTTATTCTTCATTATTTCTATGAGGTATAGAAAGAGAAAGAGAAGGTAGCGCTAGGTTTTTATCAACCTTTGTTTATATCAGATAAAGTTCTCGCTCTCTCTTCACCTGTAAAGCAAATAAAGAAAAAGAGCTTTCAGTACTAAGCAAATAGGAATAACCTTGTAAAACATAACAACTATTATCAACGTACATTTTATCTCGCGAGTGATTTATGTTGTTCCTCATTCTGTTATGTTAAGATGGTATGCCTATCAGAATAGTTGAGTGAGCCGCGTCGTTGTTTACGTGAGAGTTCTTGCTTTTTGCTACGCTTTTTGCAATTCACAGCAGATAGCCTTCTCTGTCCGCGATGTTACCTCGAAATGAAAGCTGGATATGACAGTAAGAACGTCATAAAGCAAAAGCGACGAAGTCGAGCCAATGAAAATGCATCTGGCTCCGAAGATGAACGTTTAGCAAATAAACCTGAGAAAAAAAGATTATCCTTATTTAGTTGCACATCGGCAACTTATGCAAGAGGCGATCACGAAGAGGAAGGGAACGATTCTCGGGGTGTCCAAGATTCCGGTCTTTCCAAACAACATCGGGCTACGTTATGCAATCTCCGGAATCTATGGCAATTAGTGCAAAGTTTGAAGAAAGTGAAAAGGATGAAGAGGATGAGAATGACGTTGATGCAGTGGTTGAAGAATTTCAAAGAAAGTCGTCGAAAGATCTCTTAAACAATATGTTGTCTATGTTTCATATTACACCTGTGAAAGATGAGTAAGTAGTCTTACTTTCTATTATTGAAAAATTATTAAATTGCAAAATTTTAGGCGGAATATTGAGATAATTGCCAGTAAAGTAAGTTCATTAATGATAAAAACCAAGCGTTTCTCCGAAGAATTGTCGAACAAACGTTCTACAAGCACAGAGGAGTTATATAAGAAATTTTGCGATTTAACATTGGATGATCAGTACACCCTGCTGAGTGAGTAAAGTACGGAACGTCTATGTTGACGTAAGAGAAAAGTCTCTGTATGTTTAGGTGGCTTACTACAGTTCTTCGCACAGAGTGCTTATGTTGATCAAATTCAAATTTTACCACTATGTCCAGAAAGTTGGGGTCGTTTGAAAGTTGCAAAATTTTTGGATGCCATTGATACACAAGCACGAAATGCAATTGAGTTACGTGTGACTAAAGGAATCTTGGCACATCCAGAGTATTGTCGCGGAAACCAACCTATTAAAGTTGATACAGTGAATCAAGTCATTGATTACTGTTCGTCGGACTGAGTGAGCAGAGTCTCACCAAATAAACGAGACACTTTACTAATCCGTTTCGGTGACGCAAAAGATAAAATTCCTGTGGCTGTTAGATTTCTAACATGTACAGGTGGTGAGGCCTATGAAAAATTTCGTCAAGATTATCCAGGTTTTGAATTAGACGTTCAAAGTACAACAGTCTCAGACCAAAATATGTAAAGAAGATATCACCTCATGAAGTTTGCGTTTGCATCTATCATGAAAATATCTCGCTGCTCATGGAAGTAAGCGGCTCTTTATCGCTTTTGGTGAATCATTTAAGCACCCTTTTCTCTAGGGATGGTCACGTGCCAGCAATGAAAAAATGTCTTACACCAATCTGCTTGCACTTGTTCTATGTAATGCAAATGATTTAGCTTGTGTGAGTTGTAGTTGTAAAAAGTGTGTTGATATATTGGCAAGTGAAAAACTACTGTCAGAGTTTAATGGAACCGTTGATGATCCCTGTGACTATATAATATAGGAACAGGAAGAAAAAAAAGTAAGCAGTAGATTTTTTGGCCCATCGTCTTTTAACGTGGGTAACTCTCTGACCTAGGTTGATATCAAAAGAATATCAGGTTCCGTTGATGATCTACTTCACGCTCTTGATAGTCGTTTCGATGTTTTTTGTATGCATCAGTATATACACCATCGGCAAAAATATTATATAGAGGAAATGAGAAAGTGTCGTGATCAAGAATTGGCTGTTATACAGCTTGACTTTGCTGAGAATTATAGTTTTGATACACAAAGAGAAATTCAGAGCAAGCATTGGAATGTCAAGCAAGCAACTATCTTAAAATGTTTTTCTAACATGAAAATTTCAGCTTAAGCAGCGGATTTAGATAATTCTTGGTACGTAAGGATTTTGAGCGATGCTTTTTCCGATGGCCGACTTGAAATAATTTTAAAAGTGTCAGAAGTAGAGTTTCCAGAAAACCACGGTTTTTCACACATGTACATGAAAGAGCTAGAAAGAAACCAAACGCACCGTGAAGACAACATGAAAATGAGGAAAAAGTACTTGAACAGCATAAAGAGAAAAATATGTGTCGAAAATACAAGGTGAACCTTATAAGAAACTTAATTATCTCAAAAAATGTTACAGGATGATTTCAGGGTATTTTTATAAACGATTTTTTCATCGATGCTAATGGGCATCAATTCGAACATTTGAATTTGAACTACTTTATCGAAATAAAGTAATTATCGCCGAAACTTCAAAAACTCCGTGACGGTCTCGCACGGTAAAGCAAGCACTTTTCGCTATAAATATATCGAAAATGTGCGTGAACACTCTCTTCCTTGAATATATTAAAGAAAAACATTTTAATGTTTTAAGAAAATGTTTAAAGAATAAAGTATGAAAAGAACAAATTTTATATTTTTCATTTCATCTTGTATATATTCGAGAAAGAGAGTGCTCACTCTAAACTTATTTCGTATTGTACCAACTTCGCAAATTCAAATTACATTAAGTATAAAAGAGCGATTGTATAAAGTTGGTACAATACGAAATAAGTTAAGAGCGAGCACTCTCATTCTTGAACATATAAAAGATGAAATGAAAATATAAAATTTGTTCTTTTCATATTTTATTCTTTAAACATTTTATTCTTAAAAATGTTAAAATGTATATGATATATTTATAGCGATAAGTTTCCGTCATTCAATAGGAAAGATATCGCCGAACTTTTATGTAGCGAACGAGCTTTTCAAAACTTGTTGAAAATCCAGTTTTCCAGTGGATCTTAGGAAAACCATGACCTAACTCTAACATTCGCAGCATAAATAAATTGTTTTTTCCATAGGTAGATAGCGCAGAGTGTTTCTTACAGGCGGGACCTTCATTTTCAGTGATTCAAGTGTGGTGGCGGATCTCTATCGAGCCCCAGCACTGGTACCCGATGACTTGGAATCGCATGAAACATACGTATTCAGTCACGCTGAATCTGGTGGAAATGCTCATTTTCGGAAAAGAATCCCAAAACAGGCATTTATGCTACTAGTTTCAGAGTTACGTCTTAGTTTTCCTAAGGTCCCCTAGAACTGGATTATAGACAAGTTAAGTTCGTTTGTTACATAAAAATTCGACGATGTCTTTGCTATTGAATGGCGATAACCGCAACTCTCTAGCTATTGTTAGTCCAAAGTTATTTTTTATTGGCTTTTGTGGGCACACAGTAATAAATCGCCTAGACATCCAATGTATCTAAAAATCGATTAAAATAACTGCTAATTATTAAATTTTTGAGAAAGCAAGAACAGGGTTTTGTAGCGTTTGAAAATCTCTATCAAACGATATATTCCTTCACAGTCACTTTTTCCTCGACGGTAATAGCTAGAACAAATGCGAGAAAACATTTGAATTGCGTTCAGTTTACGAAAGTCCAAAGGCATTTTTGTTATTCTCCTTTAAAATTTCGATAAACGTTTAACGCTTTGGGATCAATCATAAACTGAATGCATTCCAGTAAAGGAAGGTCGTGAAAAGCTCGAAGACGCCTTATTTTGTTCAGACACTCTTGGCCTGTAAGACTACGTTGTCTGGAAAATGTTTTCGATTACAACCAGAGATCTGGACCAAGAGTCCTGGTTTTTCTGCAACTGTGTGTGCACGAATTCTGATAGACGACGCCCTCGACTATTCAAATTATTTTCGCATTTGTTTCAGCTGTGACTGTCGAGAAAAGAAGTCAAAAATACAAGTGCTCTAAACTTATGTCCGGCCACTTTATATTTCATAACAAAACCAGACAAAGAAAGAAGTGGAAAATCTTATCACTGATTTATGTTATAATGACTGTTGATTATCGAACAAATACTGCAAAGTACAAAAAGACATGAACGCTACAAAATTCTTATTAATTAATTTGCATCTCAACAGATCTTGAAGATGATGTTTTACCATCAAGTTTTACAATCAATTGATCTTGTTTATACTCATCCACCATCTGCATGTAGTCAATGTGAATCAGTTTATTCTCAATCTATAATCACATTTTTATCCTCTTAACTGTTATCGATGCCTATAGGCGTCAGAGCAATCTTTATGAAAAAAATAAATAGTATAATCTCTAAACTATGTTTTTTTCTGTATGTAATAGATCATTTCGAACATCCTATGATAACTTAAGATGTTTTCTGATTCTAATGTGTTCTATTAATAATATTCTTCTGTATCAACCGTACCCAGGTCCAAGAAAACGGCACCGTTAACGGCCCGTTAACTGGTCGTTAACGGTAAGTTAACGTGCCGTAAACGGACCGTTTTTAGTTCCTAAACGGACCGTTTTCAGAACCTAAAACTCGTAAC